TACTTGTTTCTACTGCTCGTTATGCACTTCTTTTCTAAAGATGTCAATTCTACAGTAGGCAGTTTCAAAACGTACTCCATTGCATTTTCGGGGAGCAGAGAGTTTTTGGTTTACCCATGATGCAAGAAGAATTTAGACAGATAAGTCAGAAAAATTCACATGAAATCTAGCATTCCTTCCATGAAAAGAAAGGAATGAATATTTGCTTAAAAAAAGCAATAATTTTTAGGTCTTACTATTTTACTTAAATAGCAAGACATTACGTTAAATTGTCTGAGAATCTAATTTGACTTTTTATTGTAATTGTAGGCCATGGCACAGAAGGAAGATATGGAAGAAAGAATCACGACCCTTGAGAAACGTTACCTCAGTGCTCAGAGAGAATCTACCTCCATACATGACATGAATGATAAACTAGAAAATGAGCTGGCAAATAAAGAGGCCATCCTACGGCAGGTTTAGTATCACTGTCTTGCTTTTGTTCTGGTCCGTGCATGCGTTTTCACCATTCTCACAAAACATGGGGTAAATAAAATAGAGTGTTTCTTGGCATATGAGTGATTAATCATTCTCTAAAATTTAGAATTCTCTAACGAAACAAATATGATTTTCAGTATGAAATTTACTTTCTAGAAAATTAAATTATTTATCTTGATAGTAATAAAAATGGCTATTTACTTTTGATCTAGACATAAATCAGGAATTGTACTAAACAGTTTACATGTATTACCTCACTTACTTCTAACCACCACCTATGAAGTAGGTACAGTTTACTGAGAACACTAAAGTTGAGACACATTAACACTTTCCCCAGGTCACACATCCGGTAAATGACAGAGCCAATAATGGAAAGCTAAGTTTATTGGGCTCTGTAGCAAGAGTGGGCAAACTATGGCCCATGGTTGGCTACTTGCTCTTGTAAATAAAGTCTTGTTGGAGCATAGCCATGCCCAGTCACTTCATCATTGTCTATGACTGCTTTTGTGCTACCACAGCAGAGTTGAGTCATTTGGACAGAGGCTGTATGATACACAAGGCCTAAAATATTTACTATCTGTCCCTTACAGAAAAAGTTTTCCAAACTTATCTCTAGAGACTGGACTCTTAATCATCATGCTACATTCCTTCTCCCACTCCTGTATAATACTATGATTTTCAATATTTTGCTATCATGGTACATCTGAAGTCTTAGTACTGAGCTGTATTCCATTTATTCAAGTTTATACTCATGAGTAATTTCTTTTCGTTTTGCTGCCAATGGTAAGAGCTTTTCTAATTTTTAACGTGCTGAATTTTATTGAGGAAAATGGATGAGTAATGTATGAAAACATGACGACAATCATTACTTTGCACATTTAGGTGTGGCAGTGGCTGCTTTTAAATCTAGATTAATGGCTGAGTGCAAAGCCCCGAATGACTGGTGTTTACTATCCTAAATCTGACCTTTTAAGCATCTCGGCTATCATTCCTATTTCAGATGGAAGAGAAAAACAGACAGTTACAAGAACGTCTTGAGCTAGCTGAGCAAAAGTTGCAGCAGACTATGAGAAAGGCTGAAACCCTACCTGAAGTAGAGGCTGAACTGGCTCAGAGAATTGCTGCCCTAACAAAGGTACTGCATGAAAACAACTGGTCTACCTCAATATACTTATAGAAATAGTGGCACTCAGAATGGAATCTATAAAGATTTTCTTAAGACTTTGTGAAAATTAAGTTCATTTAATCTTTACTATTTGGTCTGTTATTTAATGAATTTTTCTTATTACACATATTTATGCTAACACGAATAATTGATCTACAAATGTGATGATCCCTTTG